TAAAGATTTTAAAAGGTTTGAGCTTTGCCCAAATTCTAAACAATGCTAATTATAACTGATTGTTTTAATTCCCCTTTGCTTTTTAAAATAGCTGTTTAAAATGAAATAAAGTTGAACCTTTCATCTTAAGTGGAGCAGATGCCACTGGTTACTTGGGCTGTCACAGCAACAGCCTGGCTCCTGTGGCAGATGCTTCTCCTCCCTGCATCCTGTGCTTCGCAGCATGGCATACGTTTGTTCGTAGTTTCTTCTCACAGCAAACAACACATTTTTGTGCCATAGAGAAAGTAGAATGTGCTTTAGTCTTTGCTGCTGTAACAAAGTCTCTGACATAAACTGCTTAAGAGGAGGAGAGCTGTATGTGGTCCCAGCTGAGAGGTTTAGTGGGGGAGTTATGCGCTGCATTGCTTCTCCTGATGGGAGGCAGAACGTCATACAGAGGGTGCGTTGCCTAGCAGGGCTGCTCACCCAGTGACAGCTGAGAAAAGACCCAGCGGTGGGGTGGAGGAGTATGTGAGTCCCCAAAGATGCTCAGGTGATTCCTACAAAAGCCCTCATCAGAAAGTATCTGTCATCCCCCAGCAAGGCTATCAAGCAGATTGATCCAATGATGAGGTCAGAGTCCTTGTGACTGAGCCACAACACAGTGACTGGCTATGCCAGGTGAGGGCCCAGGCTTGAATGTACAAGCCGTTGTGGGGATGTGTCATTCCAAACTATAACCAAATTAAAAATCGGAACTGTCAGTGTTGCTTGAACTTTCAGTTGATAACTTCTGCCATGAAGCTACACACCCCCAGCCACTACCTCAGCATCCCTTAATTATGTGTATGTATGCAGGTATGTACTCATGAGTACAGGTGCCTGCAGAGGCCAAAAGAGGCTGTGGAGGCAAGAAGATGGCCCAGGTCCCGTGGAGCTAGAATTGTAGGTGGAGTGATAAGCTGTTGTGAGCTGCCTGAAGTAGATGCTGGGAACTGAGCAGCAAGCATGCTTGTTTTGTTGTTTTGAAACAGGCAGGATCTCACTATGCATCCCTGACTGTCCTGGGAAAAGCCCAAGGCCAGACTCTGAAGTATAAAGCTGGTTTCCAGATCACTGCATCCGGGACAGCACTCATAAAATAGCCTGAAATGCACAACCTCTGTATCCAGTGAAAACTGCAGCCATGTAAAGCAATGCACAGAAACCACAATGAATACAAAACATGTCAACTGCCACTAACCCAGGAAGTAACAGAAAGAGCAGATAGGGCATCTAAAACCAGGTGGCCATTCCACAAATTCGAAAAGGTAGAGAAGATTTTGAGCAAGTTAAGCAGAAATGACACTTTTAAAGCAAATCAGACGACCATGGTGGTGGCACAGGCCTTTAATCTCAGCACTCCAGAGGCAGAAACAGGCAGATCTCCAAGTTTGAGGCCAGCCTGAAACCCTGTCTAAAAAAAGAAAATAGGGAGAGAATATGAATACGGGCTGCAGAAATGGCTCAGCAGTTAAGAGCACTTGTTCTTGCAGAGGACTTGGGCTCAGTTCCGCACCCTCATAGTGACTCACACCTGTCTGTGGCAGAAGGCTGTGTGTAATGCCATGACAGTGGATAGTGGAGTCTGTAAGTGGGAGTTTGGGGACAAGCATTACATCAGTACATATAGGGAAGGCATATCCACACACAGAGTATTGAGGACAGAGTAAACTGGCCTTTCTACAGTGAAATTGGCCCGATGTAATCATTCTGCCACCGGGTCACTTATCTGGTCTGCTGCCAACAGATTTGACAACTCAGCAGCAGCCGTAGCTAGGGCAGCCTTGGAGAGTAGAGGATACGGGAAGGGACTATGAGCCAAGGCAGTACTCAGTTCTCAGAATCCTTGAGAAGGAAGAGCCAAGCCCGTATCTTGATTTATGCATCATACCTCAAGAATGTAGGAAAATGAAGCTTCTGCTTTCAGCCACAATGTTGATTTGCTCCAGGCTACCATGTTTGTGGTCATTTGTTGAAGCAGCAATAGAAAGCTAATAGCAAGCACAGATTGATAATTCTACAAAATGATTCTACCAAGCACTTTCTGCATGACAGGCACAAAAATAGTCATTGCCATCAGGGTTCCATATTGTAAATCTCTTCACCTCCGTAAAGCTGTTAGAATGCTAGAGGAGCCACTGCCTTTGATTTTGGGTGAACTCCCAACAAATCAGTGAGAATGCTTTCTGTTGCCAGCGATGGCAGGGGCCTTCACTGGCTCTAATAACTGACAAGTACAGAGGTTGTGGAACTGGCGGGGCTCTCCTGCTTTTCTCTGCCTCTTGCTACTATTGTCCTCCCTTGTCAGCATTGTCCTTGGACTCCTGTTCTCATCTCAAGATGGCTGCCAAAAGTATGCCCTGACTGAACTAAAAAGACCGTGAAAAAGTCTGCTAATTGGTTGAGTGGGACTCTAACTGAGGACTGGAGTCAGTCTCTGCCACATCACCTGATGACTTTGCTCGGCAGGGGAAGAGGCATAATGGTTCCCCTCAGAAAGGCGGTCCAGAAACAGCCAAGTCTGTTACAGCCAGCAAAACAGTAAGTTCCAGGCTGGAGAGAACAGTGATTAAGAGCACTAACCTACCCTTGGAGAGCTGCTGGTTTCAGCTCCCAGCACCCACATGCCTTAGCCACCTGGAACTCCCGCCCAGGTAGTCCAACGCCACCTGCTGGCCTGCATAGGCCACCGCACACATACACAAGCACACAGACACATGCACCTACACATAAATAAAGTAAGTCATTTTCAGAAGTTATAGATCTTCCACATCATTCTCCTAGGAGGCACAAAGTCCCCTAGGTGTCTTCTCTTTGGAATTTGGAGCTGATTGCTATGCAGTAAGCATTTGGTGGCCTGTTATGTCAGCCTGTGAGGCCATCTTTCTGCTAGAGCCAGACTCCTGCTGAGAGAACTTTATTATTCTGATGTCTCTAACTGAGGTACTTAATACCAAGGCAGGGACATGACATGCAGAGTGTTTAGAGGCTGAAACCTTCTGAACTGTTCTTGTTTTTTATTAGAACCAGGGCCAAGTTAGTGAGAGTACTAAATCCTAACCATTAGACCACAGGCACCAAACTGAATTTATACACTACACTAAAGAGTCCATATAAAACCAAACACAGTTTTAAGCAGTGTATTAACCGAGTAAGGGAGACGTGTTTAAAGAAGTCCAGTAACCCGGTTTTAGGGGCATAGCATCGCCCGAGTATGGATGTGAAGTCTGATTTCAGATAAACTGAGTTCATTTCTACTTCTGTGTAACCTTGGCAGCTAAAAGTATCCTGTAAGCCTCAAAGGTATTTGGTCAGGGAAATAAGTCTTAAAACAGTGAGCTCTTGTCCTCTGCCTCACAGATTGACAAAAGTTTAGACAGGATTGGAAAGCTTGTATTGAAAGTGCCCCTCCCTGGCCTTCGGCCTGTAGAGTCAGTCAGCAAGGCTTTGCCCTTTGGTAACACTTGTTGAAAGTTAACATGGGAGTGCCCTCTGACTTTGCAGTTCTAATATTTGATTAGAGAAACAATTACACATTTAAAACTACGCACTCACCAGGGATGGTGGTGTAGGTGCTAAATCTCACCAGACCAGCCTGATCTATACAGTGAGTTTCAGGAGAGCCCAAGCTATATAAACTAAAGAAAATAGCCAGCTGGTGGTTTAATCCCAGCACTTAGGAAGCAGAGGCAGATCTCTGAGTTAGATGCCAGCCTGGTTTACAGAGCAAGTTCTAGGTCAGCCAGGGCTACACAGAGAAACCCTGTCTCAAACAAACAAATAAATAAAACTGCACTCATTCTGGGGCATTGTGTGAAATAGCTAAAAATGGTAATAAGACAAATATATATATCAAAATGAGAATTGAGCTGGGCAGTGGTGGCATACACTTTTAATCCCAGCACTCTGGGAGGCAGAAACAGGTAGATTGCTGTGAGTTTGAAGCCAGCCTGGTGTACAAAATGAGTCCAGGATAGCCAAGGCTATACAGAGAAACCCTGTCTTGGGAGAAAAAAGAAATGTCCAGGCTTGGTGGTGCACACCTGTAATCCCAGAATTTAGGAGGTAGAGGCAGGGATCTCTGTGAGTTCGAGGCCAGCCTGGTCTACAGACCAAGTCCAGGACAGCCAAGGCTATAAGGAGAAACCCTGTCTCAAAAAACAAAAGAGAGAAAGAGGGAATTGGTATTTCAAGACTAGTGAGATAGCTCAGTAGATAAAGGTACTTGCTACCAAGCCTAAAGGCCTGAGTTCAATCCCCAGGACCCACCAGCTAGAAGACTGTGACCACCACATCATGTTATGTAAGCATGTGCCTATACACACAAACACCATGCTCCTCACTATGATGATATGGACTAAACCTCTGAACTGTCGCCAGCCCCAGTTAAATGTTTTCCTTTGTAAATTACTAGTGTCGTAGTGTCTCTTCGCAGCAATAAAACCCTAACTAGACAGAAGATGGTGCCAGGGACTGGGGTATTGCTGTGATGGGCCTTACCATTCTTCTTTTTGGAGGAATTTGGACTTATGGACTTTGGCCTAGAAAAACAGTTGAGGGATGGAGAGGTGGCTCAGTGGTTAAGAGCACCGGCTATTCTCCCAGAGGTCCTGAATTCAATTCCCAGCAACCACATGGTGGCTCACAACCATTTATAATGAAATCTTATTCCCTCTTCTGGTGTGCATGAAAACAGAGCTCTCATGTACATAAAACAAATGAATACATCTTCAGAAAAGCAGTTGAATGTTTTAAGTGGGATTTGATGGTCTATATTAGTAGGAGCAGGGCAGGCAGTGGTGCTGAGGGTGGCTTTGAACTGTGGACCTGACTCAAAGTGATTTCAGAGGAGAATAATATTTGTGTGTGGACCAGAGAGTGTTCCTGTGATATTTTTGTAAAGAATGTGGCTGTTTCTGCCCTTGTCCAATTTGAATATCTTTTTATTAAAAAAGTCTATTACTGCTTCCTTGCAGAATGGAAACAGACTATAATCCCGTGGAGCTCAGCAGTATGTCCGGATTTGAAGAAGGCTCCGAGCTCAATGGGTTTGAAGGAACGGATATAAAGGACATGCAGCTGGAGGCCGAGGCAGTTGTAAACGATGTTCTCTTCGCTGTCAACAGCATGTTTGTGTCAAAGAGCCTCCGCTGTGCAGATGATGTGGCTTACATCAATGTGGAGACAAAGGAAAGGAACAGATACTGCCTGGAGCTCACAGAGGCGGGGCTCAGGGTAACTCACTTTTATTTTTAGAAGAGAACAAGGCATATCTCTATCATTTTATCAGAAAGGATAAAGAGGGACATTACATAAAAACCCAACCCGGGTACCTTCAAAAAACTTCTAACAGTTTCTCTAAATTTTTGGCTAGTAAGTTTTTATCAACACAGAACAGTTGAATTTCAGGGAGTAAATACATTTCCAAACTATTGATTCAGTTTGCTTTAATCATTCCCACCCAAACAAATTTCCTTCCTTCCTGTAGTTCTCTTCAGGGCATGAACTGGTGGTTGCTCACCTTCGACCAGTCTGTCTCCCATTCAAACGAGGTGCTGGGGCTGCCTACCAGATGTTAACGTCTTCTATTTGCCTGATGTTATTGTGGTCTTAGAGGCTTACTGCCTCCATCTGCTAACCTAGGGCTAGTACTGGAAACTTGTAGCCTCCATACAATCTAATCTAGGCTGAGAATGTTTTCAGCCTCTGAGACTTACTTCTGAATAAGCTCACCCTTTCTAGTTCTTTCTGAACTCTGGCTGGCTGGTTCAGCTCAGCTGTCTGGCTCAAACCCCTCTCCTAGATGACCTCATTCAACCCGACTTATCTCTAGGCCAGTGACTAAATTGCTCCGATTGGCCTCATACTAACTTTGGCAAATATGTTCTGATTTCCAGGCTCCTTCTCATTCTATGACTCATTCTGTTTTCACTTGTATCTAGTTTGTTCTCTCTGCAACCTGTCTCTGTAAAACTGTCCCAGTAAAAACTGCCTCTGAATTTCACAAATTGAACTCTCCTGCACTGAGTCTCTACACACTGACTCAGCGGAACTGACTGAATATCACCTAGAACTCATGCCTGTCTCCTGAGTGCTGGGATTAAAGGCCTGGACCTAAGCTTTTCTTTACCTGAAACTAGCTGTATACCAGGCTGGCCTTGAACTCAGAGATCTGCTTGCCTCTGTCTCCTGGATTAAAGGCATGTTTGTATTCTAGCTGGATCTCACAGGCCTAGAAGGTCTTTGGATGTGATCTCTTGCCAGAGCAGCCATTTTTTAATTAAAATTCCTCTACCACTAGGTGGTATGTTATACAGGCCAGATCCCACATAAAAATGGAAAGAGAAGCCAGGTGGTGGTGGTGGCAAATGCCTTTCTTTAATCCCAGCACTCTGGAGGCAGAGGCAATTAGATCTCAGAGTTCGAGGCCAGCTTGGTCTAGAGAGTGAGTTCCGGGGCAGCCAGAGTAAACTTGTTTTGAAAAAAAAAAAAAAGTGGAAAGAGAAAACTAACTTCACAGACTTGTCATCTGACTTCCATAGATACAGCATCGCATGTATGTGTATGTGTGTGTGAAAACACAAAGTTTTTTAATTTTTTTTGAAGGTACTCAGAGCTTGTGTTTGTTCATGCAATCCTTTAATCCCAGCACTCAGGAGGCAGGGGCAGGTGGATCTCTTGAGAACAAGGCTAGCCAGGACTATATAGTGGACCCTGTCTTGAAAAAAAAAAAAAAAAAGAGAAAGGAAGAAATGTTTAATGGTATAGCCCTTATCTGTTAGTATGTGACCCTGGGTTCAGTTCTCAACAGCAGGCTGGAATGTGAAGGCTTCATCACCAGTGTTTACTGCAAGAAGGTACCTTGGTGTGATAGATCATCGATATGTGTGGAGTCAGTAAGGATAAGGGCTGGAGAGAAAGCTCAGTGCTCAGGGATGCGTATGTCTCTTGCACCAGCCACACGCCAGGCAGCTTACAGCTACCAGTGACTGCAGCTCCAGGAAGTCCCGTGTTGTCCCCTAGCCTCCATGGACACCTGCACTCAGATGCACACAGGCACACATACACATAATTCAAAATAAAAATAAGGCTAAACATTTTGTTTTAAAGCCAGGTGTGGTGGTACACACCTTTAATCCCAGAACTCTGGGAGGCAGAGGCAGGTAGAACTCTGAGTTCAAGACCAGCCTGGTCTACAAAGTGAGTTTCAGGAACAGCCAGGGCTATAAAAGAAACCATATTTCAAAAGGAAAAAAAAAAAAGTTTTGAGATTTAAAAAGCAAAGTATTTTTGTATTACTTTCAAAATTTCAACACTTGAAAAAAAGAGCAAAAGTGAGCAAACCAAACCTCTTACAGAGCCATGGGGGAAGCGTGTTGGAGGTAGTGGGCCTGTCTGTGTTATAAGCTATTTACATTGATTGCAAACAGCTGAAATGTATATCATCTGTTGAAATAGTGTCACTGCAGAACAAGCCCCTTCAGACACCTGACTCTTGCCTTCTGTGCCAAGATGGAAGCTGATGACCCTGCTCACTGCTGCCCTTCTCTCCTAGGTGGTGGGCTATGCTTTTGACCAGGTGGACGATCATTTGCAAACCCCCTACCATGAGACAGTCTACTCCTTGTTGGACACACTCAGCCCTGCCTACCGGGAAGCATTTGGAAATGCCCTCCTTCAGAGACTGGAAGCTTTGAAAAGGGATGGAGAGTCATGACTCATCCTCCGAGCTGGGCTACTGCTGGTATAGAATGCTAACATAAGACTTGACACCCTTGCGCACAATCACTGTAGAAAGTGCATCACTGGCTTTATGTGTTCATCATTCCTTCACATGTAGGCTTTTGACTCACATGTAGGTTCATAATTGACTCATAAATTGTCTTAGTTTTGGATTCATGTAAGGGAATTTGAGACCATTACTCTGACACTATCTGATTTTTTTCACACAGCCTCTCTGCATTTCAATACCTAATCAGCACTTCATGCTCTTATTCCAGGGCTTCAACGCTGCCAGCACTCTTTTACATACAAAATTCTAGATTTGCACAGTGATACAGAAATTAGAATCACCTAACTTCAGACCTGGATTCAGCCTGCTAAATCAGGGGTTTACTACTAGCCTGGACTGACTGTGTAGTGGTTATTTTGTTACTGGCCTTATTGGAAACAAACTGTCAACTAGTTTCCCCTGCACAAATTTTGAAATTGACTGCTCTGGTTAACCTACTTACATTACCAAATGGACTGATGAAGATGGATTGCTTAAATGTTACTTAACTAGGATGAAATGAAAGGCAGGGACAGAAATAGTTCTCTCTTCCTTGTTTGCAACAGCCAGCCAGCCAACCTAGAGACCGGTAGCAATTGAATGTAACAGTTCCCCATTTCCAAGATATCTAAGCACATGAGCAAATAGAGCAACAGGCCCCACCGCATCCTCAGCGAGTATCACTTCAAAGGAAGAAGATCCTGGTTTCCTAGGAAACGATATTTTGGCCCGTGTTGACTCTTATTCCGAATGTTTGTTTACAATGTACAGTACATATATATATTTATTGAGAAAGTATTTTTGCTTCGACGCTTACTTTCTACTCAGCAGCGCTTTGGTATTCCTGCGGCGTCCCTCCTTCTGTCTCGTTGCCACGTGTGCAGTGTAATGAGTGCATTGTATGGTTTGAAACCAAAGGATGAATGAAGCATTCAGAAACTTGATATTTCAAAAAGAGATGCTCTGTATTCTATATTTTATTACAGTCCCTGGTGTTTATAAACTTAATAAAACACTTCCTGCTGCTGCATGTTTTCCAGTACCTGACAAACAAAAAGGACCTGGGTGTTGTTAATTGTCACCCAAAGCAGCTGTTTAGCCACCATCTGCATCTGGGTGTGCCTCCATACATTTGTCATTAGCTTTCAAGAGGGCATTTTTTAGCCTCTGAACGTCATGTGAGAGAAGGGGGTGGGGAGAACACCTGACTGTCATGGGTAAGCCCAGGTTGGACCTGAGGGTCAAAACGGTTTTAAAAACTCAAAATGATCATGTAAGCCAGGGCAGGTGGAGATTCATCTGCATTGCTGATGCCTTCAGAGTTCACCAGCTTGAGTCTGTTTGCGAGGTACTCATCCTAGTGCGATGTCTGGGCGCCTACCTGCCTGCGTAGGGGCAACGAAGCCCAAGTTCAGGTTGAACTTGTTCATGCTTAATCTCAGGCTAATATTAAAAAAAATGATGTTTGTAAAGTTTGAATAAAATCGTTTACTCGATTTTGAGTTGACTATGAAACAATTATATGTTTAAGTTTTTAATTGTTACCAGGCAATGATGGGGTCTGCTTTTGATCGCAGCACGCTGGAGGCAGAGGCAAGCGATCTCTGTGAGTTCGAGGACAGCCTGGTCTGCAGGGTGAGCTCCAGGACAGCCAAAGCTACAGAGAGAAACCCTGTCTCAAAAAGAAAAAAAAAAAAAAGTTGAAATTGTTCACTTTGTGATAAATGACTGATTTCAAGACCTCCTACGCCCACGTATTTAAAATGCATCCATGTTACATTTTGAGTAGAAGTGAGTGGTGTTGCTCTTTTGTTATTCGGAGTAAAGGGAATCGGTAAAACTACACACATGTGAACACAGGCAGACTTTTATACTAAGCCACGCCATTTGAGAGGCCACTGGGCACGGCAACACACATAATCTGAGCACCTGGGAGGTGGAGGCAGGAGAGCCTGGCGTCCAATGTTGTAATCCTACGAGAACTGGAAGTCAGCCCAGGCTACCTTTCTTTCTTTCCTAAAGTAAGAAAAAAGAAAAGTGGGCAAGTGATTTAGACAAAGGAGGAAAAACTGAAATATGTTCAATGACCACTTAAAAGGGGTTCCAAATTGGGGGGCTTTAAAAAATGAAAGGTTTGACTCAAACCGATTAATAGCTGGGCCGTGGCAGGCAAGATGGCTCAGCAAGCAAAAAGGCTTCACCTGCAGACCTGACAGCCTGGGTAGGATCTCTGAGGCCCACATGGTAGACAGAGAGCGCCTACTTCCACAAGTTGTCCTCTGACCTCCACATATGCTCTCTCGTGTGTGCATGTGTACACACAAACTTCTTTAAAAAGGGTTTTGTTCTGGTGAGTTTTTTGTTTGCTTGCTTTTGTGAGACAGGATTTCACTGTGTAGCCTGCCTATCTTGGAACTCTGTAGACCAGACTGGCCTTAAACTGGGAGATCCACCTGCCTCTAACTCCCAAGTACTGGGATTAAAGGCATGTGCCATCACCGTGTGCCAGCTAAAAAGAATTTAATAATGCCTCTTCACCAAGTAATTTTGTAGTTCTTTTAACATACCCAGGATTTGGTGAAGGGCACTTGGGAGACTAAATCTTTCTGAAAATAAAATACAACCATTTGGAAGGCTGTCTTAAATTTTCAAAGAATAAAATTAGTAAAAGCTGTGTAGGAAGATGGCATCAAGGGTAAAGGCATTTGCAGCCAAGCCTGAAAACCTAAGTTCAATCCGTGAGGACATGGAAAGAGACCAAACTCCATTAAGTTGTGCTCTGATGATTCCACATGTGTGCCACATACAATAAGTAAATGTAATTTTTAAAATTTGGGACATGGTCTGGAGGAGATGGCTCAGAGGGCTAAGAGCACTAGCTGTTCTTCCAAAGGTCCTGAGTTCAATTCCCAGCAACCATCTGTAATGTGATCTGGTGTCCTCTTCTGTCATGCAGGCATACATGCAGGCAGAATGCTGTATAAATAATAAATAATTAAAAAAAAAAAAAAAACTTGGGACATAGGGGAAATGAGCCAGTAACTTCAAAGACTGCTTTTCCTGTAATGAAAAGTTAGCCAAGCTCAGAACAGCACTAAGTTATGCTGTGACTTTTTGATGGAAAATATGCAATGTGAAAACTGAGGAAGAGTGACATGGGGACGGAGTCACACTACGTGCTACCTAGGGTATAAAACGCTCTCTATTTGATAGATACAGAAGAGGACGTGAAGTTAAACATTAAAATAGTAAGCACCGGGTGGTAAGGTAGGTAATTCTGATGTTACACTCTGTTTCAATGCAAGGGGAGAATTCAGGCCTGGTGTAGCTCGGCTAGAGCTCGTCCTTAGATGCTCAAGAGCCCAGCACACAGAAAAGGGACAAGTGATGGCGGTGGGGTTTCCTCTGGCTGAGAAGTTAGTGCTCCTCTGTCTGCTCCGAGAGGTCGGTGAAGAGAGCACAGGCCTAAGGGCACGCCCACCTTTCCTCTGACCCTGAAGAGCTCAAGCGTTTCCCTACACGTCAGCTGCTGGTGCTGTGCGTACGCTCAGGGCTTTCTATCCGGGATGCACCGAGCGCCCTCCAGTGTTCAGGAGCAAAACCTGCTGCTTGGCTCCTATCAGGCGAACAGAGGAGAAAGCAGTTTGAAAATGGACCATACTGATTTTAGAACTCTCCTTTAAGTCTTCATATAGGTAGAGCATTGCTGAGGCTTACACAGATGAGGAACTTGCTTAGCCACCCATCCATGAACTATGTAGTTGGGGCAGAACCGCCTCCCAGCCTTTTTCTGTACATGCCAAAAGGCACCACACACGCTTGGTAGTTACATGCAGAGGAAAGGACTCAAGGAATGAGACAGTGATCGCTCTAATAAAATCAGCACGCTCAGGAGCTGGAGAGATGGCTCAAAAAGAACACAGTTACTCTTGCAGAGAACCCGAATGTGGTTTCTAACAACCACTGATGGCTCACAACCCTCCTTCACCCCGGTTCCAGGGGCTCCAATTTTCGCCTGCGATGGCACCAGGCATGCGTTTGGCACAGAGACATTCATACAGGCAAACACTCACACACATAGAAATATTTTTTAATTTCTATATATGCATACAAATTTACATATAACAAGTTAATGTGTATTCCATTTAACAAAGTTAGTATGTGAAAATTATTTCAGAACAATCGGACTATGCTAACATAACAAGCAGGTTATATTTATAGCTTGCCACACCTTTGAAGATGAGCAAGAAAACGAAATTAACATGGTTGTTTATTACATTAACTTATTTGTGGGGAGGGGTGTACATGCTCTGGCACACATGTAGAGGACAGAGGACAGCTTGCTGGAGTCCATTCTCTTTGGGACAGAGCATAGATAGAAGTCACGTTGCAATGCTTGATGGCATCTGAGCAATCTCAACCTGCCACAATGTTACCGTTTTTACGTTTGTTGGGTTTACTTCAGCAACTGCGCAAGTGCTCTCATTTCAAAAGAAGGCCCAGAATCTAAACTTCCTGAGTATAAACTTTGTGGTTATGTGTGAATTCCCTGGGCACGAAGTGCCCCTAGGAGCCGCCACTAAATCCCCAGGGGAAGAAAAATAAAATTTGAAAATGCTTTAGGAAACACAGACCTGGATGAGAAATCTCCATTGAGAAGATGTCTCCACAAGAATGGCCTGCAGGCAAGTCTGTGGGACGTTTTTCTAACTGTGGGCAATCCTACCCCTGATCCTGAGTTGTCTTAGAAAGCAGGCTGAGCAAGACAGTAAGCAGCGTTCTTCCATGATCTTTGCCTCAGTCCCTGCCTCCAGGTTCATGCCTTCTGCCCTGACTTCCCTGGATGGTGGGGAAGTTTTGATCTGGTGTTATCACAGCAATAGAAAGCAATCTAGGACAAACCCTAAGCCAGTAGAACCCGGTGCACCAAGCAGCCGCTGGGCTGCACGGGGGTGTGATAGCGGGCTCTCTCGCTGTGGCCTCACGTGTCCTGGACGCCAAAACTTTCTGGCAACTGCTTTTCTTTACAGTAGAGAAGTTGTCACCCCCAGCGGAGTGTCCTACAGGAGATGTACAGAAGGCACAAGGACAGTAGCGCTGGGTGTTTGAACGTGGGAAAAGCCCCGCCCTTTCGGACACGCCCCTTCCAGGCCCGAAGCCACGCTCCCAACGGACACTCCCCAAAGAAGAAACTCTTTGGACTCTCTCCAGAGCCCGCCTCACCGGACACGCCCCGCCCCTAAGATAGCCACGCCCACCAAGAGCCCGAGCCACGCCCCAGCAAGCCTGACCCTCCTAGCCTTCCCAGGCCCAGCCTCTCCTCCTTAGCAACCGACAGGACTCTTTCACCTTAGCAACTGCTACAGGCGCTACCATGGCTGAGGAGGAAGTTCCTGTGACAACTGAGAAAGTTCTGAAGATACAGAGGGTGTTCATAAACCAACTGGACTCCTACAGCAGCGGAAATATAGGAAAGGTGAGCGGTGGCCGAGCCAGACTGGCCCTTAGCTCCTGGTGTGCGTTTCCTGTCCATCCCCACAGCAAAGGCCTACATCACTGGCTCTTCCGGGCCTCCCCAGGGGAAGATTCCAGTTCTGGCACGTCAGTGCCTCAGGACCTTTTCCTAACCAGGCTTCTCCCGTGCCCCTTCCTAGAAACCCAGATGTTTGGATACGGGGAAACTGAGGCTCAAGAGAGGAAAGGGCTTGTAAAGATCATAAGCTGGAGAGATGTCTCAGAGGTGAAGAGCACCGGCTCTTCTTCCAGAGGTCCTGAATTCAATTCCCAGCAACCACATGGTGGCTCACAGCCATCTATAATGAGATCCGATGCCCTCTTCTGGCATGCAGGCAGAACACCGTATACATAATAAGCAAATCATAAAAAAAGAAAAAAAAATGTAGGTGATTATGGACAGGACCTGGAGCATACACAGTATAAATCCAGCCATTATGTTGTCCATGAAACATTCATCTACCCTTTTTTTAAGCGTCTGTTTTGTGCTAAGCAACAATTTTTTATCAGATCCCATTAAGCTTCCACACCTCCAGGAGATATGGGGAGACTGCTCAATGGGACATATTACTTAAGGCAAAAGCATGATAACCTGAGTCTGACCTCCATCATCCATGTAAAACTGGGTAAGGAGTAGTGCTGGGAAGCAGCCAGAGAGACCCTGAGCGTTTGCAGGTGACCAGTCTAGCTGAAAAACAAGCTCCAAAGTTCAGTTAGAAACCGTGTTTCAAAAAACTAAGTGGAAGACACCTTTCTACCTACACACACACACACACACACACACACTTTCACAAAGAACCTTTGGGCTGTCCTTTTAAATTGTTCATTTGTCAAAAAAAAAAAAAAAGTCATGTTAAGAGCAGTGGCTGCTCTTCCAGAGGACCCAGGTTCAATTCCTAACAAGCACCACCTTCTCCAACTCCAGTCCAAGATAATCTGGTGCCCTCTTCTGGCATCTGTGGGCAGTGCATTGCACATGATGCACATACAGACACACAGGCAAACACTTATACGCCTAAAATAAAAATAAACACATCTTGACACAAGCCTGCAAAGGACCTTCCTGTGGGAGCTCTGGATCCTGGCTTTGAGATGAAGAGCCTGGGCCCATGAGAAGTCAAATGGTGATGAGGTACCCAAGCTGCACAGCTAGCAAAGTAGTAGGGGAGATTAGAACTCCTGTTTCCTGAGACTGTTAAAAATGAATCTGTGGAAACAAATCCCCTAGAGACTCCTTTTAAAGCAAATCCTCAGATTACCAGTTGTGGTGAAATTAAATTCTGGCATGGATTATTAAGGGGCCAGGGCATGCCTGAATGGCTACACAAATATAGCACTGGAACAGACAGAAAGTTTTGCAAATGGACAGCTAATGCTTTCCACTTGGCAGAGAAAGCCTTTATCCAAGCAAGCAATGTGCTGTGTATAAGTAAACAAATGAGGATGTGGAGATGCCAGGAAGTAATGCTCTTCAAAGCTGGATGTGTTTTTTATGAGGTGTTTTTCTTTTCTTTTTTCTTTTGTTCTCTTTTTGTTTTGTTTTGTTTTGTTTTTTTCCCCAGGGAGGAAGGGTTTCTCTGTGTAGCCTTGGCTGTCTTGGACTCAGTTTGTAGACCAGGCTGGCCTCAAACTCACAGAGATCCATCTGCCTCTGCCTCCCTGAGTGCTGGAATTAAAAGTGTGCATTATCACTCCCCGCTCTTTTCTTATGATTTTAGTTGGCCTGTTTTCATAGTGATTACTGTTGTTGCTTTTAATTGACACTGGAATAAGGTAGAGGTTTTATGTTACAGAATGAATCTTTAAAAATAAGTAAATAAATCTAAGTTGACACCATTATTCTGTTTTATTATTCAGTAACACACTGGCCCCATGTGTTCACCAAACACCTCAACATGGCTGGTTCCAAAAAAGAAACACTGTAAGCATAGATGCATGTTGAATTCCAGAGACCAGCATTTGACAAAAAGAAGACTGCAACATCTCAATGCCAGCATTCAAAAGCCAAGAGCGAGACATTGTCTATTAAAAAAAAAAAAAAAGTAGGGTATAAAATATCTCATCAATTTTTTTTTCTTTTTTTGGTTTTTCAATACAAGGTTTCTATGTGTAGTCCTGCCTGTCCTGAAACTCACTTTGTAGACCAAGCTGGCCTCAAACCTCTGCCTTCCAAATGCTGGGATTGATTAAAGGTATGCTCCACATTCTCATCAATTTTTATAAAGGCTAGAAAATCTCTCAGTGGTAGAGCACATGAGTGAAGCTCTGTGTTTAATACATACCATAACATGATAATTTATATTGATTACATAGTAAACTGATAAATAATGCTTCGGGTTTATTAGATCAAGTAAAACATTCAGGGCTGAAGGATGTGGTAGAGATCTTGGCCAGCCCTGCAAGGACCTGCATTTGTTACCCAGCACTAAAATAATGCTTTTTCATTAATTTAATCTTTTTTTGTTTGTTTTTCAGATATAACCATTAGACAGTTTTAAGCTAGGGCTATAGCTGAGGCATCGGGGTGCTTGCCTATCAGGCATAAAACAGGTATAGTGGTGCGTAACTGAGATCCTAGCACGCTGGAGATGAGGGCAGATGCATTAGGAGCTGAGGTCATGCAGAAACTTAGCCACCCAGCAAGTTCAAGGCCAGCCTAAAATACACAAGATGTTGCTTATTTAAAAGAGAAAGGAAGTTGGAAGGTGAAAGGGGTAAAGAATAAGCAAGCTGATGTTGGTTTGGTTTGGTTTATTTAAGACAGGGTTTCTCTGTGTAGCCCTGGCTATCCTGGACTCCCTTTGTAGACCAGGCTGGGCTCAGAACTCGCAGAGATCCGAGTGTCTCTTTCTCTGGAGTGCTGGGACGACAGGTTGCGCCACCACATCCAGCTGGCAGACTGAGGGTAAATAACCTCCGGGGCTCATATTGCATATCTGTGTTCCAACTGAACAAGACAAGCATTTTCACCGGGCCCGCCCTCTACCTACTGCCAAAGCAAGCAGTTGCTGAAACTCTCTGTGCCTATGTCACGGGCTATTCAATGTCCTCTCATGTGTTTCCCGTGCCCTGTGTTGTGGGCATCATCATTTCAACCTTGTGACCACGATGTAGAGGGATTTTTCTCATTCTGTGGGGTACACAGCAAAGGCCAGAGTCTAGAGTCATCACTGGCTGCCCTTACTCAAAACACTGCTTAGCTGTGCCAGGCACAGTGGTGCACAATCGTAATCCCAGCATTCAGAGGCGGAGGCAGGAAGATCTCTGTGAGTTCAAAGCCAGCCTGGTCTGCAAAGAGAGTCCAGGACAGCCAAGGCTACACAGAGAAACCAGTCTCAAAAACAAAAACAAAAATAAAAACAAACACAAAAAACCCTACTCTGCTTAGTGCCAGACGCTTCCGTTCCCTTGCAGTTCCTAGCTAACTGTGTCGCTGGGGCTTCGCTGGAAGAGATTGCAGAAGAGGAGGAAGAAGAAGATGAGGCAAAGTCAGCAGCCCCAGAAGCTCCCACCATGAAAGTGAAGGAAGGCACATTCCAGATCGTGGGCACCTTAACCAAGCCAGAGAGCACCAAGCCGGACTTCGCTGTGGAGACATATTCGGTAAGCCCCCACGGCATCCCCTAGGACTTGACAAGGGCAGAACCCTTTTGGTGCCAGTTGCTACCAGTCTCTGCTATCTCTCCCCTCCTGCTCTGGCCTCAGGCTCCATGACAGGACATGAGAAGTGGTGTTTTCTTTTCATCATTGTGTTTTCTCTCTATGCGTAGGTGCCACCTGTGCACATGCGTGCCACTGGGCACATGAAGAAGTCAGAGGAGCAAGTCTTTGCCTTGCAGTTTGCTTGAGGCTGGGTCTCTTCATTGGGTTCTGCTGCCTATACCAGGCTGGCTGGCCCGTGAGCCTCCAGGGGTTTTTCTGTCTCTGCCTCCAGCCTCTCCATACTACTGCACGACATTTCTATGCACACTGCTGCAGCCAGCTTAATGTGGGCACTGGGGACCCCGCCTCAGGCCCTAATGATCGTGCGGCAGACACTTTTTGCTCCCTGGACCATCTCCCCAGCCCAAAACACATCTTTCTACCGTGACCAGGAACACCACAATGTCTCCACTTTACACTGGGAGCCAAAGCAAAGAATTTAAGTGAGGTATTCATGGAAGATATTCATCTAGTCTCTTTGACTTCCAAACACATAAAAATCTCTCTATGGAGGCCAAGTGAATGTACCCTACAGGAGAGGGGAATCTTGTGGGGCAATGAGTTCCTGATGACCCGAATGCCTTGCCTCTCTCTGCCTAGTGAGCAGCTGTGCCACCTTCCCCTGACCAGTTGGACCCTGTCCTCACTGGGAGACATTTTTATACTCCAGAAGAGGTGTTTTCTCTCCCAGGCTAACCTCTCTGTCTCCTGGACCTCCACTTTCCAAACCCACTATAGAGCTCTGTGTACCCATGACAGAGGCATGACCCATGTTCATGCCTCAAGAGGTAGCTCATTAGCATATAGTGCTGGCTAGTCTTATGTCAACTTGACACACAAACTAGAGTTATCTGAAAGGAGGGAAACCCTAACTGAGAAGATGCCTCCATAAGATCCGGCTGTGGGGCATTTTCTTAATTAGTGACTGATGGGGGAGGGGCCAGACCACTTAGGTAGTGCCATCCCTGGGCTGGTGGTCCTGGGTTCTATAAGAAAGCAGGCTGAGCAAGACATGGGGCGCAAGCCAGTCAGCAACACCCTCGTGGCCTCTGCATCAGCTCCTGCCTCCAGGTTCCTGTCCTGTTTGAATTCCTGTCTGGCTTCCTTCAGTGATAGGCTACAATGTGGAAGTGTAAGCCAAATAAACCTTTTCCTCCCCCAAATATGCTGATGCTGTTTCAGCACAGCACAGTGGTAAAAACCATAACTATAATATCTATGTCAATTATAAATAACAGGTGAGAAAAGTATCATTGAGACCTATATGGCAGCTGGCTGTGGTGTCTCATACTCCAGCACTTGGGAGTTGAAGACAGAAGAAACCCAAGTTCAAAGTCATTCAACACAGGGGTTGGAGAGATGCTCTTAGTGGTTAAGAGCACTGTCTGCTCTTCCAAAGGACCCAGATTCAGTTCCCAGCACCCACATGGCAGCTCACTACTGTCTGTAATGCCAATTCTAAGGGATCAGACACCTTCACACTAATGCACATTAAAAACAAACAAACAAAATAACATTTAAAAAGTCATCCAGTACAAATGGTTCCCAGCCACCATTTGAAGGCCACGTGTTCAAATATGTGAGCCTATGCAGCCATCTCAAATTTAAGCCATGAATGACAAAGAGCCTGCTTTCAAATAAAGCCACAGACTAAAGAACTTGGAATTATGAAGTCAACACATCTATGGTGGTTTGAATGAGAATGGCCCCTACAGGCTCATATTTTTGAATGCTTGGTTCCCCCAGTTGGTAGAACTGTTTGGGAAGGATTAGGAGGTGTGGCCTTCTTGAAGGAAGCATGTCACTGGGGGTGGGCTTTGGGGATTCAAAAGCCTACACCAGGCCCAGTCCCTTTCTTGCTGCCTCCTGCTTGTGGATCGGATTTAGACTCTCAGCTATTGCTCCAGCACCATGCCTGCCTGCCCATTGCCATGCTCCCCTTTGTGATGGACAAGGACTCTAACACTCTGAAACTGTAAGCAAGCCCCCGGTGAAATGCTTTCTTTTCGAAGTTGCCTTGGTCATGGTATCTCTTCACAGCAATAGAGCACTGACTAGGACATTATCCTTTCAGGGGAAGGAGACTATTCAACCCACGATAGCAGCATCTTGCACTTTGTTATAGTCACCAAAGCAAATGGGAGTAGGTGAATGCAAAAGTATGTGAGTGGGGCAGGAGATGCATGTATACACACAGGCCTGTGTGGGAACCAGAAGGCACAGTTGTTATCTTCCTCAGGAGCACTGTCTTCCTCTTCTGAGACAGTCTCTCATTGGCCCGCTGCTCACCCAGTAGGCTAGGCTCACTGACAAAGGATACCTAGAGATCCTCCCATGCCCACCTCCCCAGCTTTACAAGTAGGAGCTACCACCATCCAAGCCGGCATTGCATCTTTATGTGATTCCTGCGGACTGAACTCAGGTCTTCCTTCACACTCAGAGCAGGTGCTTTACCCAGAGCCTCTCCCTTGTTTATTTGTTTGTTTGGTTTTTGTTTTGTTTTGCAATTTTTAAAATCACCCGTTCGAGGCTGTTTTCAGGGACATCTTTGTTACTTGTGAACTACACACAAAAGAGAGCCAAGATTTCGTTTTGATAGAAACACTCCCGCAAACTCTCCCTTGGGGGCCTCCTAGGATGAAGGTGGGGAGGTGGACAAGTCTAATGTGGAGGCTGTCAGTCCATCTAGGCATCCGGTTCCCTGGTTGATGCGAATGGACAGTTGCTTTTCCTTTCAGGCACTCTCCAGAGAAGACCTCCTCACGTACCTGATGGAGTGTGACGTTGTCATCTATAACATCACGGAGAGTGTGCAGCAAGTAGAGGAAGCCATCTGGGCAGTCTCTGGTCAGTGAGCTCCACGAACATCCCTGAGCTGTAGCCCCACACCACTCTCTATTGTGGGGCACTGTTTACACACAGCTACTTTGAGAGTCCCGGAAGAACTGGTCTGAGCAGTACCTAAAGTTTGAAATGTGTGCCAATGTGGGTGGAGACCCAGGGAGCTGGTAGTGGTTAGCTGTGGTTGTTTTATTTTGTTTGGTGCTTGTTTGTGTCTTTTGAGACAGGGTCTTTCTTTGTAGCTCTGTGTCCCAGTTTCTTTTCTGTTGCTGTGACAAAGCAACTGAATGGTGAAAGGGCTTATTCTGGCTTCGTTCAAGGTACTGTCATAGTGGGACAGTCAGGGTAGCAGGAGCTTAAGCACCAAGACATCACTTCAGCCCTTCTGGCCTCTTCCCACTGCATGAAAATGTGCACATACGCAGATGCATCAAAAGACTTGCACACAGAAAATAAAAATAAATTTTTTAAAAGAAAAGAATAAGAGTGGGCCACATGAGTCAGTTTACTCAAGGGCCTTATTTGTTGCTTGGGGCTTCCTTTTATGAGGTTCAAGAGAAGGAGGAGTTTGGTTGCTAAGGGATATAGTCAGGTTGCTTCTCTACTTGGATGGACAGATTTAAGCTCTGTGACTCAGTGTGGGTGTTCCTTCCCATCATGCACTTGGTTTTAGTCATATGCATGCCCAGTTATGCATAGGCATAGATGGCAAATAAGGAATTCTCTCTAAAAGGTCACTGTGAGAACCAGGCAGTGGTGGCACATGCCTTTAACCCCAGCATCAGGAGGCAGAGGCAGGCAGACCAGTCTGGTCTACAGAGTGGCTTACAGGTCAGCCAGGACTACACAGAGAAACCCTGTCTCGAAAAAGTAAAATTTTAGTTAATTAATAAAAATTAAAAGGTCATGCTGAGAACACCATTTGCCTCATTGCACTTGAATAGAAAACCAGTTCAGGGGCTGGCGAGATGGCTCAGCCTGAAAAGGTACTTGCCATTAAGCCTGACAACTAGAATTTGTTCTCCAGGTCACATGTGATGGAAACGAAAAACTAATTCTCACAGATTTTTCCCTGTCCTCTATCCTATTTATTTGTTTGTTTGTTTATAGTTTTAGGATATAGTTTTAGGATAGGACACACTTAAAGAGAAATGAGGCATCATACTAAGAGGAGTACCTTACTTCCATTGTTTAAAGCATATATGTGCTGGGCTGGAGAGATGACTCATAGTTTAAGAGTATTGACTGATCTTCCAGAGGTTCTTAGTTCAATTCCTAGCAACCACATGGTGGCTCACAACCATCTATAATGAGATCTGGTGTCCTCTTCTGGCAAGTAAGTATACATGCAAGTCAGAACACTGTACATGATAGGTAGATAGATAGATAGATAGATAGATAGATAGATAGATAGATAGATATTTAAATATAAATATATACATATATACATATTTATATATATGTTGGTGCATGCATTTAATCTCAGCACTCAGGAGGCAGAGGTAGGCAGATTTCAGGTTTTGAGCCAGCCAGTTTACATACTGAATTCCAGGATAGCCAGGGATACACAGAGAAACCCTACCCACCCCCCCACCCCCCCCCCCCAAAAAAAAGAGGGTTGGATAAATGGCTCAGCGACTAAAAGCACTGTCTGTGCTTCCAGAGGTCCTGAATTCAATTTCCAGCAACCACATGGTGGCTCACATATGCTGGGATCTGATGCCTTCTGTCATACAGGTATACATGCAGATAGACCACTCATATACATTATAAAAAACTTAAAAAAGAAAGAAAGAAAGAAAGAAAGAAAGAAAGAAAGAAAGAAAGAAAGAAAGAAAGAAAGAAAGAAAAAAGCATGTACATGTGCAGCCTGGTGCAGATAGAGTTCTAAGTGCCCACTGCGCTGCTAGATACATTGCGAAGACGGAGCATGTGCAGATGGAGTTACGGGCACTGAATGCATTTAAGGGAGGAGGGTGTGCACGTTGTCCAAGCCTAGTGTGCCCTGGCGTACTAAGCTATCTCCCTTGCTCGCAGGGTGGCCCTTGGTTGTGAATTGTAGACAGTCAATATAGACTTTGGCTGTGACAGAAAAGCATCTCCATTTGAGGATGACCCCTTGACCACTCAGGCAATACACTGGCTTTTCTGGGATTTAAGTGCAGAGCACATCTTTCCTCTTTCTTATTTCTTTAAGAAAATTACTTCACTCCTCTGCTTGGAGGACATGGTTTAACTAAGTTCTGTGCTTTGTGAGGTGGAATGTTTCTGTGCAAGACAATATAGTCAGAGCCACTCCATTCTGTCGGCAAAGTTGCTTGGCCACCATGTGAGTGAAGCTAGAGAGAACACGTCAGGGACCTCGTCATTTACCTTGTACACATTTTCAGAGTTTGTTTTACTATGTATGGAGTGTGTGTGTGTGTGTGTGTGTGTGTGTGTGTGTGTGTGTGTACCCACAGAGTACACACACAGAGTACCCACAGAGGCCAGAGGAGGACATCACTGGAACTGGAGTTACAGGCAGTTGTGAGCCACTGACGTGGGCACAATGGGATCTGAACTCTGAGAACAACACTTGTTCTTCACCAATTGCTGAGCTGTCTCTCAAGCCCCTTAATATGTAACTTTAAAAGCAGGTGTGGAACGCAGAATGCTGCGATAGGAGGATTGAGATCCTGAAACCCGGATGCCTAGTATAATTTTAACATATGAAGAGAGGAGAGGGGTGGAAAAGAAAGCTGTGGCTCAGATGAGCAAGTGCTCAGCTATCGGGTCAGTGGCAGCAGCGCATAAACCAGGCATGAGGTGGCATACCCATAACCCTCGAACTTGGAGATGCAGACAGAACAAAAGTTCAAGGTCACCCTTTGCTCTGTAGCTAGTTGGAGGCCAGACTAGTCAACAGGGAAAGAAAGAAGAGACACAATCCCCCATAACACATATTACTTTTTACCAACATTACTTTGAAATGTTGTCAAATTCTTCTACCTCGCCATTCATGGACACTGTGAAAAGAAAACCAAGGAAGCAAGGTGGCATTGGGAAAGGAATGAATTCCTGACAGAGAGGGGAAATGTTTGCATACAAGAAGTGTGTCTAAGGCGGGCGGAGCAGGCAGAAGATGTTCAACCTATTATAAATGTCACAGATTTTTAAAAAGGTGACCCAGTTAAAGCCCTAGAACTGTGACACATATTCACAAAACAGGCCAAAGGGAAGCACAGCAGAGAGGAACAGTTAAAGGAGCAAAACAGAAGAGACAATTTCTTTACTAGGGTTGAAAGCAAACAAACGCTCAGAGTCACATTTGAAGGAGGGATTAGTGCGAGAGCACGGTATGCTGTTGTTAGGCTTAGTTCAGGGTTGCTGCTCCACCTTAGGCCAAGTCCCTGCATTCTCCTGGTGAGGACAGCCCCACCTCAGTGCGGGATGGGTAAGGAGTCACCTGACACGACTGAAATGGCCCTGATGCTCACAGCTGCAGGGCCCTCTGACCTCACTCTGTACCTCTGCAAGTTCTGACAACAGCAAGACTCTTTCAGTGCAACCCTAAGCCTTGACTCTGGGAGGCGTGGCACGGCCTGTGAAGGAACCCCCTGTCCAGTGACACTCACTCACCATCCTGTCCTTTGTTCTCTCCACTTATCACACCTTGTTCATAACCTGCATGTCCACCGCACCTATGCTCTCTACCACAGCCCTTGGGCCACTGAGGCAAAGCCCCCTGCCTTCCAAGCCGGCTGCAGTATGAAGAGAAGACACATGCTAAATTACATCTGCACCTGAGGCCTAAGCTAGCCAGAAATGCTTTCTGTGGACCCCCAAGAAAGCCAGTACCCTCTGTTGTGCTGACTCTTGCAGAGGTCCCCACACTCATTTAGGCAGCTTACCATCACCTGTAAGTCCAGCTCCAGGGAGATTTGACCCCTCTGAGGTCTGCTGACACCTGCAGTCACATGAATATACTCACACATATTGAAAATAGAATCGAAGTGTTTCTTCTAAGCATGTGTGTGTGTGCACACGCACACTCTATATAGCAAAAAAAAAAAAAAAAAAAAAAAAAAAAAAAAAGCTCTTACGTGGATTCTGGTTTTTGGCCCCACAGCACTGAATGAAGAAATCAGCCATTTTGAGAAGCGGAAGGTGTTCATTTTGGTGTCAACAGTGATGACGTGGGCGAGATCCAAACCCCTGGACCCAGTGAGTGGAGCTTGAGTCTCTTTCCAGTGAGCTGTGTATCCCCACACTCCTGAGTCCCACCCCATCTCTAGCATACAACAGTTTGTCTACTCTAACCACATTCAAATTATCTTACACACCAGCAAGGTTTGATGAGGGTTGTTTGTTTTTTTATGTTGTTTTGTTTTGTTTTCTGAGACAGCACCTCATATAGCCCAGGCTGGCCTCAAACTCACTATGTAGCCAAGGATGGCTTTAATTCCAGATCCTTCTGCCTCTATACCCAGAGAGCTGAGGTTGCAGGCATTTGTGGCCATACTAAGCTTTTATATGGTGCTAAGGATCAAGCCCTAGACTTCGTGTATGTTAAACAGGCACTCTGCCACTGAGCTACATCCCCTGCTACGACCACTAAGAGTTTTAAAAGGCTGCCTGACAGACAGTGCCACTACATAACGATGCTTTGTTTGAGGCCTGACTGTATATGACAGGGGTCGGAGGGGTGATTTCATTGTTATTTTTTCCATTGCTGTGACAAAAGCAGGTTGCTTGCTTGCTTGTTTGTTTTTGAGACAGGGTCTCACTATGTGCTCTGGCTGTCCTGGAACTTCTCTGTAGACCAACCTGACCATAAACTTGCAGAGCTCTGTCTGCCTTTGCTTCCCCAGTTCTGGGACTAAGCAGGCAGGAGGAATTGGTTATCTTGCCTCACTGGAAGGGTCTTCATGGAGGAGAAGGTGTGGCAGAGTGTGAAGTGGCGGAGAGGTGAATGCTGGTGCTTCATTTTCTCTTTTCATTTTTGTTCATTCTGGGGCCCCAGTCTGGTGGCTCTTCCCCCCTCAGGTAGTTCTCTGGAAATGCTCTCACAGACACACCCAGCCACAATCACTTATCTCCTAGATGACCCCAAATATGGTCAAGCTGGCAATGAAAATGGACTTTCACAGCTATAGCGGAGCTAAAGTTCTTTGTTTTGTTTGTTTGTGTTTTAGAGACAGGGTTTCTCTGTGTAGCCTTGGCTATCCTGGACTCGCTTTGTAGACCATGCTGGCCTTCAACTCACAGAGATCTGCCTGCCTCTGCCTCCCCAAGTTCTGGGGTTACCAGGCCCAGCAGAGCTAAAGTTCTTATTGCCTGATCACACCATAACCCTCCTGAAGTCACAGCCCAGTGGATTCCCCAACTGTCTTCATGACTCTGGTGGAAGTCAGACCACTGAGAGCCTACCAGGCATAGCAGTCACATTACTACACTGAGACCAAAAGCTGGCAGCCTTCTTCCAGCGCTGCTACGTCTCTGATGTCATTCACTGCTGTTCCAGTGCCTTAGAGTGTAGGGCTCCTTTTCTGAACTCTACTTCTCCAGGCTGCTTAGGGTCGAAGGGTCCTTTAGGGCCTATACGCCAATCTCCAGCAATCGCAGACGCAGTCAGCACCCTCCCTCATGCCACTGTGCTCGGAAGTGTTTCTCTCTGCTGTCTGTCTGCTCCAAACTGCTACTCACCACACGCCAACACCACATGCTAAAACCACGTCTCTTTCTGGGCTCTCCTATTTACCCTCTCAGAGTCCTAGATCGGCTGAAGAGATGGCCCAGTGGTTAAGAGCACTAGCTGCTATTCCAGAGGATCTAGGTTCAATTCCCAGCACTCACCTGTACCCCCACCTCTGGGAGGTCCAACACTCTCCTCTGGCCTCCATGGGCACAGAGCAGGTACATGCAGACTGCACACAAATAAAAAAATAAATGAATCTAATTATTTAAAAAAAAAAAAAAAAAAGGCTGAAGAGTCCTAGATCACACCCCTCTTTTGTGCCACATATGGAAGGCTATTACCAGCTGGCAAAAGCCACACCCTGCATGAGACAATTAACAGGTGTGGGCAAACTATACCCCAAACTAAAATCCCCCACAAAAACATATTTATATAACATACAAAGAAACCAAAACGTTCATTACATTGAGGCTGTGTGCTAGCTCCTCACTCAGTGGAGGATCATGCCAGCGCTTCTCCAAGACATGTCAGTCGGTACCATCAGTCTGAACTGATGAGGGTGTTACAGAGTTGAAGACATCCCCCAACCCTGAAAAGATCACAGGCTCAATCCAGATTATAATTAGTTAAATATTTTGATACAGCTAGCAGGACAGTAATCTCTCAGCCAAATTAGGGACTGCCAGGGGAAATGGGATGAGGGAAGGGTTTTTAAAGGTGAAACCCACAAGACCTTGAATTTCTGTGCAAGCAAGCCGAGAGCTGTTCTGGGCTGCCAAGATTAGGTAGTCAAGGCAACCTCAAAATAAAATAGTCCTTGAATGGCTGCATAAGTTAAAAAAAAAAAATGCCCAGAAGTTTAAAAAAAAAAAAAAAAAGCAGTTAGTCATATCATAACAAAGCAGATGGTCATGGCTGTCTGTTTATTTCTGAGGGAGGGGTTCACTGGGTCAAAGTTACTGGGAACTTGGCTTCTGGGAATTTGAAGCTGAGACAAATGGTTATCAGGGACCGAGATGGATGCCTAGTCTAAAATGAGTTTCCTAAGCACAACATGAGTGCTGTGCAGTCTCGCACACCAGCACAGACAATGCTTTTCAGCTATACATGTTATTGATTACAAGGTGCATTTTAGTATCAGCCATGTTAAGTGACTCTGGCCATCATGCTTAGCAGCAGGCACCTTCACTTGCTGAACATCTTGTTAGCCCCCCATACTTGTTTTTAAAATCTAACTATGTTCTATGGATGAGTAAAGAACCCAGAGATGAGGCTAGCTCAGCCAAATTATCAGAACAAGAATGACTGACAAGTTCTAGTTGTCACAAATAATAACCAGCTATCCAGGAGCCCACACAATTTCCACGCTGGTAGAACACAGTAAGGTCGTCCACAGGTTGGGCTCAGCGGCCCACACCCTAAGTACCACTACACAGGAAGCTGAGGCAGTAGGACCAACCCAGGACAGGAGCTTAGCCCCAGCCTGAGCAACATAGGCCCCTGCAAAAAGAATAAATCAATAAAGTAGAATTGAAACATAGGAGGAAGAGACAGTTAACAGTCACCTGATCTCATTTAAAAGATAAATAAGCCTGGTCGGTGGTACACACATTTAATCCAACATCGGGGAGACAGAGGCAGACAGAGTTCCAGGACAGCCAAAGGTAAACAGAGAGACCTTGTCTCAAAAAAACCCAATAAATTAATAAACTAATAATTAATAAATAAATGAAATCGAAGCCACACTGAGTGAGCTCAGTAGTTGCTATGTCTGTTCATGAACAGGCTTAGTTTTCAGAAATGCTGACAGTTTTCAATGCATAAAAAGGAAAGGACAGTGGCTGGAATGCCAGCTGGAGGAGGTGCCAGCCACTCAACATTTATTGGAAAAGCAAATATTGGCCTCACTCAATGACAAGGAACTACCTGCCTTTCACCCTCACCCATGAAATGTGGACTCAGGGGCTGGAGAGATGGTTCAGTGGTTAAGAGCACTGGTTGCTCTTCCAGAGGGCCTGGGTTTATTCCCAGCACCCACAAGGAAGCTCACACCTGTCTAATTCCAAGAGCTATTGACACCCTCAAACAGACACACATGCAGGTAAAACACCAATGCACATAAAATAAAAATAAATTATTTTTAAAAAGGAAGGTGGACTTAAAATAACGCTGTGTGTACTCTGGAGTCGGGCAAGAGAGGGTTACTTCCAGCCTAAGAATTCTGGGCTAGCCTATGCAACATTGGCTTGTCCTTGTTTTGGGGGGCTTTGTTGTCATTTGTCTTGTTTTGTTTTTAATGTGAAACATACTTCATGTGCTGTTGCTGTTGTGATGGAATTTAAGGACTAAAGGAGCCGAGCCCAAAGGTTCACAACTCAGAGCCTGGTCTCTGTCCCTCCAGGCATCTGAAGGCAAAAACTCTGAATTGACAGCCCTGACTGGTTTGGACCCACAGGCTTCCATGTAGCTGGCCAGACTAAGACTGCTCTCCATTTCTTTGGTGAAGCCTGTGGCCAGGGTCCCTGCAGGCCACTTTTCAGTATGTGACCATTTCTGCTGCAGGCACAGGGACTAGCAATGGGCTGAGTCTGGAAGAGGTTTAGGCTGACACAGCAGGGAGGCTGGTCACTATGTCATGTTAGCCAGGGCTGTGGGACTACAAGGCTCCATCCTTCCTGCAGCCCTAGATGGCAGCAGCAGCAGAAAAAAACCAGCAGCAGTTTTCATAGTCTGGGAAGCCACAGCTGAGCCTTTGGCTAAAAAGATGGGTGAGTCTAGGTCACTGTTTCCAGACTCGGTATGAGTTTACTTACTAAAGCTAGAAAATAAAAGTACATACAAGAGCAGACAGCTCAGTTTAAACTTCAGATAAATAGTGACCAAGTTTTAGCACAAATATGGGGTGGAGACAGAGAGTTAAAAAGATAGCCAAGTGGCACACGCCTGTGATCCCAGCACTCAACGAGGCAGAGGCAGGTGGATCTCTGTCAGTTTGAAGCCAGCCTAGTCTACAAAGTGAGTCCAAGGCAGCCAAGGCTACACAGAGAAACCCTGCCTCAAAAAGACAAAACAAACAAACAAGCAAAAAGTTTAAAAGGACAGCCAATCATGTATTATGTCCATGATATGCCATATGCCATTTCTGCAAAATGATGGAGTAGCCACATCTTCCCTCACAAACTAGTTTTCTCTTTCTGCTAAGAGAATCCTCAGTACTGTAGTTGCTGCAGCCTCACTCCCACCCACCCATACGTCCACCCACCCATCCATCCACCTATCCACCCATCCACCTATCCATCCATACATTTATCTACAGGCACTCTTAATTCATCCTCCCAAGTGTATTAGCCCATCTAGTTCTTGTATCTATGGCAACTTTCTAGTCCCAGGCTTTGCTGTCAGCTTCCTCAACTATGAAAATTGCTGGATGACGATTGCCCGCTGTGGATGCAATCTAGAGGGTGCAGGAATCGGTTTATTTTCTTTGCCAGTCAAAGCATTAAAGGGG